TGAAATGGATTGTAAAATGATGTAATGAAAAAAAGACATGCTGCTGACTTTCTGTTTCAGGATTGTTTCAAAATCAAATCATCAAGTGTTGTAGAACATTTTATGCATTCGGTTGAATCAAAATGACATCTCGGATGTACTGGATGCTCATTTTTGAACAGTCTCACTATATTGAAAACTTAATATCAGTAGAGACTAATGTAAAACTATTTCTGTGCATTTCCTTTTGCACTTTATTTAGAAAGCAGGTAAATAAAAGTTGCAGCTGCAGTTATCAAATATTATGTTTATTCCAGTTAATTTACTTAAACAAAAACAGCCTGTTATGTTGCAATCTGGTATTTGTTATTATTTATATAACGCGTAATTTATTATCATAAACAGTGGTTTGTAGCCAAAATAGTTCTACATTTACTGCACTTCATTATTCTTCTAGTTATTTACCTATAATGGCTAATGAATCAGAAGTTTTGCACATTCACGGGAAAAATAATGTGGTTAAGATTCAAGAATACGGTAGTAATCACAAATATTAGACAGCTTTGAGCCAAAATTCATGTTACAATTTTTTTAATTGTTATTATTAAAAAACATAATTTAAGTGTTTGTGGATTCAACTTGGAAAAAACGATCAACCCAGTAAAAAATGGAATGCAGAGTACTGCACAATGGTGTATAGCACAACAATGCAGTGCATTTTCCACTGTATTGATAATATCCTGGAAAAGTATTGCAGTCCTGCCTTTGAGATCAATCAACTCCCCATTATATGTTCCCTCTAAGGGTTTACTAAGGCCTATTTCAAGCCCAGTCTTGCTCCAGGTCCCATATGCACTGTCCTGGGTTAAGAGAAGAGCCATGTAACAAGCTCAATCCTTCTTGGCTCTCTTGGCTTTGGCGATGTTCTCTTGTCGTTTTAGTTTCTTCTTCTGCTCACGATCCTTGGCCTCGATCATCTTGGCAAGTTTCCATGACAACAGGGCACTGGCGATAAACAGAGGAGTCAAAGCCAGGATAACCGTGGTGAGAAAGCCATAGGGGTCTTTGGCTGCCCACTCCACCACATATTCTGCCCATGCTTTTATATCAATCATCGTCCTTGCGCTCCGTCTTCAGCAGCAGATCCTAGAAAGAGAGAAGAGTTGTGAAATCGCATCACTGTCAGTGATGTCAGTGAAATGTGTAAAAAGTTTTAAGCCACATTCCAAAGTTTACATTGTAGTTGAGAGTCAGTATTGCTGTAATTTACTTTTTATGCCTTTATTGACGCTCCGTCTTAGCAGATCCTAGAAAGAGAGAAGAGTTGTGAAATCGCATCACTGTCAGTGATGTCAGTGAAATGTGTAAAAAGTTTTAAGCCACATTCCAAAGTTTACATTGTAGTTGAGAGTCAGTATTGCTGTAATTTATTTTTTATGCCTTTATTGACGGGT